GTTATATTATAGTTGTTTATTAACACAAAAGCCGTATATGATTACACAATTTGAAGTTGTTGATTAGACTCACTGTATAATAATTATAATGTTCAAAATGATCATAATCTCTTAGCTATTTTTATAAGATGGGTTTATTATCATTCTATAGAAACAGTTTTAATTTCTTACTTTTAAAAAAAAATGTCAAAAGTATTGATTGTAAATAATGTTATACACGATTGGCTAGGGGATTATAAAATAAACTTAAAGATTTGTCCATACAATTGTTCTGAATCTGTGATTGTTCAGAGCTAATACCAACTTATACACACATAATATATGTCCTATTTTTATATTATGTATGTAGGTACTATATTTTTATAGTATTGAAAGCATACTTACAAGTTACATTAAGCATATAATGAGGTGCCTGTACCATTGAATCTGAGTTATTTTTTAAGAAAATACTTTGTAGATAAGTATAATGAAAAAAATTGCCACTATCAAATACCTGCTACTCATCATTATATCCTTGAAGCTCATGTGTGGTATTAAAAATAGACGTAGGTAGATTTAAGAGCAGTGCTTAACTTTGGGAGGGGAAGACTGGGTACCTTCATTAAATGTTCAAATATTTTAGATACTCTCATCCGAAACATCAGAAAGTAGTGGATACTTTTTTCAAATTAGGGCGAATAAAACGGTACTTTTTCTTAGGATTACTTACACAAGGCGTATAACTCGTGTAAGAACCTATATACATTAATATATTCTAATAAGTACTTAATAATAATAATTATTATAAATATTATTTTATATTTGAGTATAATGGCGTGATAAGTAACCACGATTGTAGACAGATATCTACAACCTTTTATAACCTCGAACAATATAATACGAGAAGACTGAGAAATATATAGGTACTAAAAGATAAAAAGAAAATTAAAATTATAGTTGGGCGGTGACGTGGGGTGTCTATTTGACATTTGTCTTGTACCATTATATCTAAATGTATAATCATAATACTTTCAAAACCGCCTCTTGAAGTCTTAATTCTTAAATTGGACAGATTTAACTTTGACAGTTTGACTAAAATATACATACTTAATTTCTCTACCTAGATATCTACATTTGATTCTTAGTTGAAATAAACCAGAACTGATTTAGTACTAGTTAGTAGATCTGGCCAATGACGATTTTTAAAATCGTGTTAGGTATTAGCCATTAATTAATACAATAAGTTGTGCTATAATAATCACTGATCAATATAATGCTTTACATTTCGATTGTTATTAAATGGTTGGTAAAAATACAAAAAAATAAAATTAATTATCTTTTATTAGTTTTATTATTATACTTACAAACTTAATAGAAATACAATTTAATATACTTTACCAGTACATATTATTGAAAAAATTTAAATACCTAAAGAAAATAAACTATCAATAGTTGAATGCACTTGACCATAGCGTAATTTATTTTTACAATTACATAACTTTATGTGTTTACATGTTATGTTATGGTTATAATACCAGCACTGGTATTGACTATTTATAACCATGAAAACTGTAAAAGTGATTCCGTCTATCAAGTAGATACATATAGTAATTCTAATAAAAGGTCAATTTAACATCACGAACATAATTTAGCTCAGGTTTAAAAGGTTTTTATTTAACAAAGAACGAGGTCGAGGTGTTTAGTATTAAGACTGTTAATGGATAGTTTCCTCGCGTAAATGTTTATATACAGTTTTACATCGTAATATATACCATCAATTTTGCTTATTATATGTATAACCTTCTAGTACCTAAAGCTTTTAAAATTATTTTAATAAGTACCTAACAATAAAAAGTGTTCTTATTTTTTGATTCCGACAAACAATTTAGTAGGTACTTGATTCTAAAAACCAATGAAGATCAAAGTAAATGGCGTTACTATAACAGCTATCCATTTATTTAAATGTTTTGCAATTCAGATATTTATTATTTACATTTAAAATCATAACATTTAGAAAACTTTTTTCACCAACAACTTCGCAGGCGTAATTTAATATCGTCAATACGTATGTGTAGTTAATAATATTATCAAGCAACATTGTATCAAAATAAATATGTTTAAGTTCATGCACCTATTAAACCTACCCATGTCTTCAAGCGTATATGATAGTGGTGTATCTTGGGCCTTTTTTATGGGTGGGGGTGATAAACTGATAAGGATATTTAAATATATATCAATAACAGTAACAAAAAAATATTTTTAATATATTTTGCTATAACTTAAATAATAAGCATTTATAATAAAATGTCAAGTGTCTTTGTTTTTTGAATATTAAGGAAAAAGTCCCAGGAAAATAAGTTTCAGTAAAAAATACCAAGGATAACAAATTTCTCGCAAAAATGTCTACTATACAGTATATACAGTATTTTAACGAAAATTGTATTGGGGGAACATTTTAAAATTTAGAAAAATTAGAAAATAAACAGTGGAAAATTAATTCAACATTATTGTATGTCAACGTTTTGCTGAAGGCAAGCCAGATATTCCTAATTTCTTAGAACAGAGAAGTTAAAATATAAGGATGAGACCTTTTATATTTGAGTAACAGTACATTTTTCTATTTTTTTAAATTTTTATTTAATCAAACATTCAAAATATTTGTTAAAAGGTTACAAATAGGTATCTATTTATATACTATACAAATAAATAGTAATTATATAGGTGCCTCTGGTACCTATTTATTTTATTATCTATATATATAAGAATCTAACTTGATTTTGGAGACGAAGGAAACCGGTTTTGAACCCTCATTATAATAATAATTAACTAATTACCAATTATTTTCATATATTCACTGATAACGATGTCTGTTTCTTTTTTTTTTTTATAATCGTTGTATTATTTGTATAGCCAAAAAATAGTCTTATGTTTTTAAATTAAATTATAAAAAAATAATTTCTTCCGGAGGAAGTTCGGGCAGCTAGTTGTTATATAAAGTAATACTGATAATAATAATTGTCAATTGTATGGGTGTATAAATACTGACAAGTCTTAGTTGTCTAAAGACACTTCTTGTTACTTAAATTATAAAACAGAATATGAGCTTAATGTGACATGTTGACAGGAGGCTAACACAGTTTATGGGTTTGTTAACTTAAAACTATAAATTTACCTAGAATACTTCCATTAATATTTTTAATTTTTAAGTGACTCGTTGGTAACCTACTCATAAGCGAAAACTAGGTTCAGTACCTAGATAAATATGCATATCGTCACTGCCAAACATTTTTCGAGTTGAATTAAAAAATAAAAAAAAAATATTAGAACAGTTTTTTTTATAGCTTTTTTAAGCTCCAATTTGGATTTAATTACATATTTATACCAAGAATAACGATTTTAGTTATTTCATTGTAATTTAAAAATATTATTTGTGGATACTTGAAACTTTCAGAGTAGGTATATCATCATATTTTATATACTTGAATGACATTTTCAAATGCAATTTTTTCAACAAAAAATAATTTGACATAATATATTAGTACTAATAGCTATTATATAGTATACTAAAATAAATTACTTTAATCACAGCAATATCATGAAGTATACCTACTTAGTAAAATTATAGGCTGTCAGTCCTTCGCTCAGAAACGGTTTTGTATGTAATAATATTACCATTACATCATTGAATACACCCATTATTACACTGACTCTCTAGACACCTAATGTACAGTACAGTGACATCCAATTACCCAATTTTTAGATAAAAATATTGGTGATATTTTTCTAATCAAAGCTAGAGGTAGGTATATAAATTAAATAATGTATTATATAATTAGTACATTTAACTTTTTTCTTTAGATCTGTTTAATATTGAACTGAAATCAAAGTTTTTGAACGATATTTGGTTACATTTTTATTTAGAAGACCAGCATTATAAATAAGACACTTTTAAATATTATTAAATCGGATGTGTTCATTATTTTCTAGTAAATCATTAGGTAAGATATTCTTGAAATTAAATTCTAACATCCAGTTGATTGCATACTGACAGAATATTATTTTGTATGGGCTGTATAGCAAATGTACAATGAAGTTTTGTAAGATATAAAACCGACGGTAGGTTTTTTTATTTTGTTGTGACTCACAATAAATACCTAACCAAAGATTGGTACTGGAAATGTCCACCAAATATTTATACTGGTCTAACTAACCCCGTGCACTTCGTTGCCCGTAATAAATTCCAACTCATGTATGATTTAAACTATGTTCAATTCGCCAATTAATTTTCGGTATAATGGTCAAACTGTAAAAAAAAAATTGTTTTAAATTGGCTGATATTTACCGTATAATATAGTGACCAAATATCAAATAGGGTTAAAATTATATCCAATCATAATAACAGTTTTAATTTATGTAACCTGCAGTGGCAACCATTAATAAAAAAAATATACTTATCTCTACTTCTACTATTATAACCTGTATGCTGTAACCAATGGCAACCATAAATAAATAATAAAAAAATGTTCAATTTTCAAAGTTTAAATTAGAACAAAATGAGATATTTAATCAAAGAATAACAATTTTCGATATTTTGTTGTAATTTAAAAATATAATTCGTAAGTAATTGAAACTTTTAAAGTACTATTATCTATGTATAAAGGTATATTATTATATTTTAAACACACAATGCCATTTTTAAACACAATTTTCTTCAAACATTAATTCAACGTAGATACCTACTATATACCTACTAACAGTAAAATAAATTACTTTAATATGACGTAGTGATAATATCATAAATTATGATATGATGCCGAAGGTCTGTCTTCGCGGTAAAACATGGCTTTAAACATTTATTTTTGCATTTAGCACTTAGCAACATAATATTTTAATAAAAACATTAAATAACTTTTTATATTCATTGTTTGTACTAAATGCATTGTGTTTAATTGAATTATTGATATTGATTTAAAATATTACTTATTAGATTATATTTGGATTTGGGAATTTACAAGTTAAATATGAGTGCTGAGGGTGAAACCAATGATGAAACATCAAAACAACCCCCCAATTCAAAGGATGATGAAGACATTACATTTAATTTTTTTTGTGATATAGTTAAGCAATTGATTTTGCAACGTAATGATATCGGAGGTAAATTTAACTATAATAATACTTAAGAGGGCGTCGTGCACGCAAATATGTTGTCCTTGTCTTACACACGTATGACATAGCAAATTTTCTTTCAACAATTTCAATTACGTGCTGTTAGATTTTAATATTAGAGTGAATCGTCCTAGTATCAATCTTTTAGGTAAGACAATTATCTATGTTCTCTAGATCGGGTTTTTTTACCATAATTTAATTTTTAAGTGAAGTTATGTTTATATAAACTATAAATATTTAAAAATGCTCATAAATTGCTTAAAAATTAGTTATAAAACCCAATGAGAGAACACTGATAATGTTCTTACTTAAAAGTTTGAAAATAGGTCAGTTCACTCTAATATCAAAACTAACAGCACGCTATTGAAACCGGTGAACGAAAATTTAGTATGTCGTAAGTGTGTAAGACGAAGATGACACATGTGGGTACGACGTTCTCTTAAATGAATGTTTGTACACGTAATAATAATAATGGAATTTGAGAGATCAGTTATATATCATATATCGGTTATCAGTAAGTAGTACATTGTACCTATAACTTTAAAATATTTATTTAAAAAAAAATATAGTTTTAAATGTGACGATAAACTTAACATCTCAAAATAAATACACACATTTTAATTTAATAACACTATAACTTAATTTTTTTAATAAGTAGGTATATTAGAACTTGTTTATGAAGTTAGGTGGGTACATTATTTTCTTTTGATATTTTTTTATGCTAAAAAATGAATATTAATATTTTTGAATAAATGGTATACGTAAATATATAACCTATATTCAAAGTACCTAATAAAAAGTAATGTTTATAATACCTAACTAATAAACTTAATTGTTTGGATCTTTATTCAGTTTATTTGTATAGGTTTCTTTTTAACGTTAAATAATTTTAACACAACTCGTTAAAGTTATAGGTAGCCATATTAACAAATGAAATGCTATTATAGATGCTTGTGTATTAGCAAGTTGGTTGAAAGTGTTGGAACAAAATAAAAATAAAACCATTCGAAATGAGTATATAAAACTTATGATGCTGACATTGCAATATAAAGAACCAATCTGTCCATTTAAAGACCCTCCTCCCGAGACAATTGATCCTTTGGAAAATGGAGTAAAATATGCGTACATGAATCATATGTCCTATCCTTCATATTCAAAATATAAAATGTCCACAGGTGATTGAAATGTCTAGGAAATTCTTAAAGAAAGAAGGCACTGCGACATGTGTAGGCGATATTGAAAAAGATATAAAGGTCACTTATCCAACAATTAGCACAGCGATGTCCAACGACAAACGCCAATATGCTTCATATCAAGTTATACCGAATGTGGGCGTTCAGTGTTATTACGCCTCTTCAGAAGAACCAATGTATACTTGGACTTTACCATCACAAATTACAGTCCCTAAAAGTGGCCCGCATGCCACGGACATTGATTGGGAAAGAGCATTGGCGGGTATTCAACCCAAATTGCACAAGCCAAGCACAGAAAAAGTACAAATTCCAAACTCCCAAAAAAATACAACCGCTAAAGAGTAAGACATATTATAGACGAAGGTACGACTATGATCATTAATACGCAACTTTGATTTATTACCAACAGTGACGAAATCGAAGTCAAGTCATTAGCTTCTGGCAGCAAGGTATCTAGGAAAAAGTAATTTTACTTTATCATTTATTAATGCCCTGAATAATATAATAATATAGTATATTTATATATATTTATATATTATTATAATTCTAGTATTCATAAGTAATATGTTATATTATGTACCTAAACGGCTAGATAAAAACCTTGATAAACTTACATCTTTATATGAACGCCATGCGTTTTGACGAGTGCCTTACTGTCTTACACTGTGTTTGAGCAATTATTATTATACAATAAAAAAGATAAAATTAAGTAATTTGTTACAAATATACGTCAGGTAATATTAAACGATTAGAGTATCTTAATAAAATACAACTGTAAAATGTAAAGGAGAAAAAATTAAAAACAAAATAAAATTTAAAATATAAAAAAAACAATAATTTTATATTATAAAAACAAATACATTTTTTTAACTTTAAATTGTAATAATACTTAAACTTGATTCGTGATTCTTAAGCACGCATGAAAAAAGCTGTCTATTTTTAATCATACCCGAGGGAAAATGGATTGATTGCCCAAACGTATCACAGAACATACAAAAATGTCACCCAAACACACTTTTTCAATCTCGTCCAAGCGCAAACCACCCCTTCATAGAATTTAGACTTGAGAGCATCTCAAATAAGCGTGGAATTAGATTCCAATAATTGTTGTCACTTGAACAGAATATATCGCTTTTTGTATTTTAATATGATTTGAGCGTGGGAATTGGTTTTAAAAATACCAAACACTTTGGTACTATAACGCTTTATATTATTGACTACAAATATCAAATAATACAATTATCTTTAAAAATACTTTTATATAGGAAGTACAGAGTATATATGAATCATTTGTATATAACATATAGGTATACATTTTTATATTTAAGCTGAACTATAGTAAGAAGCTAAGATACAGTGGCGTAGTTACAGGTCAAAGGGAGGGTATCCAAGGGGCCCGGACGGAATTATAAAACATATATAAATGTAACCCAGACTTTCGGAAATGGGCAAAATAGCAAATACATCATCCTAACAATCCTACCAATCATCCTTATACATTTATAATCATTATTATTATTAGGTCAGATAAATTAAAAGAAAGCGAGCCGGAGAATCCAGATATTTGCAATGTAATGTACATAGAACAACAGAACCGAAATGTGACCGAGGTATTCGAATGGAATGATGCTAGTTTATTAACTGGAGATATAAGACTCGGCGCAGAAATGTGTTCCGATCGCAAAGTTGATGCCCAGTTTAAGACACAAATAGAACTCGACAAAGAAGCATTTAATGCCTACGACAAACTTTATCCCGGCGATTTCACAATAGACGTAGAGCAGTCGGTTATCAACGATATAATTCCAATTAAAACAAACGTTGTTTCGGAAGCCAGCGATAAAAGTATAGTATAATTAGATAAAGAAGTATTTATTATTCGTACATTAAAAACAATATAGATACCCACATATATTTGTATATGCCTTAAGAATACGTTGAACATGCACGTGCAGACACTTTATTATTAGGGTGAATTGACTTATCAAATTTTTACATATTACAATGTAAGACATTACGATATTTTAAAAATCTCATAAAGTCAGTACTCACTTTTAATTTTAAATATAAATAAAAACCAATTAAATTTTCTAGGTAATATTCTTATATTTAAGTTTGATAATAGCTATGCGATTCACTTTAAGTTTTATCCAATAACATAAAATTGGTTCTACTAGACTTTCAAACCAAAAGTTCGTAACTGAATTGAGAGGTTCTGAATCCACTCCAGATATTTTTAAAAAGTAGAACAATTTTAGCAGTGAATATTGTTTATTAACTATTGTGTTAAGAATAATTTTATATTTTCGTTAATGCAGTGTAATAACGAGAATAATGAGTTATATATTTTGAACGTAAAAATTATGAGTGGTAAGTGTCCAGTATCTATACAAAAAAAATACTCCTGAAATTTAATATAATTTATGGCCTGGCCTCCAGCCCTATAAAGCTCTTGTGGTTCTTGTAGTACCTATTGTTATCAACAGCTATATATGCGATATGCTTATGAAACACATTAAACGTTATACCATGTTGTAAATTTAACTCATTGTTTTTATGCTAAATAAAAACATCTACAACATCTGCATCTGCATCTGCATCTTATCTTTATTTATTTTATTTTATTGATCATAATTGTACCTATGTAAATATGTAAAAAACTAACTATTCACAATTCACTGTATTATTATGAATTTATTGGCAAATATATATGTTATAATTATAATTGTAATTTAACATATCTACTAAATATTATGTTCACAATTAAGTCAACATCAACTACTATGTAAGGCATGTCGTATAACTGTGCATCTATACACACTTAAAAATTAAATTTTTTGACTAAGTCAGTGTTAAGAATAAAAGCAAAATTATAATACAAAAAAAAAATTAAAATATAATTTATCCTAATACCCAAAAATAAAACAACATCGAGATGACATAATGCTGGCTGAAAAGTTTTATAGTTCACTACTAAAATTAATGGGTTCACTTAAGTTAAATGTAAACACATACTTCTGCCGTCCATCACCTCACACGATTTCAATTGATTTCCTTATATTATTATACTTAACTACGTCTAACTCTCTTCATCGTGACTAATCAATGTCTGCCAACAATCAAAGTGATTAATCACTGAATCAATGATTAGTTTATTATTTTAAGCTATTTAATCACCTATTGGCTATTGTACTGTATGATAGATATTCATAATTTTATCACACAATTAGTTACGTCCATGGTCCATCATGTTATAAAAGATTAAACTCGTCATTAAACCTGTAATCTATATAATATATATATATTATATAGATCTATAAATGTAAATAGAAAATAAGTTAAGGACGCTGACGTGTTCTTTTCGATCTTTAATATTAAATCGTATATAATAATATATAACAACAAATTGTTATATATTACACATCACAATTCTAATAATATGACACGCTTTTAGAAGCGATCTGCAAAGACGAAGAAAAACAGCAGCAGCCGACGGCACGCGACGTCGATGGCTGCGGCGCGAGGAAAAAGCCGCGCGAGTGCCCGCGACCTAAATTGTGCACGATACGACAGAGCGCAGGCCACGAGAGCATCAAATCGCCGCCAGAGGAACATCGGACCGTTGTGGATGCGTCACCGTTGGACCATCATCGTCAACGGATTTCCGAACTGACGCTCCAACTGGCCGAACTAAACTCCACCGACAGCCGTGCCAGCAGCAACAACACGAGCCGCGACACGATCGCCGATTCGCCGGCGAGACGTCCGACCACGGCAGACGACTACCGCGTCGCGTTGTCTTGGCGTCGTGGTCGGGGCGACGACGACGACGGCGACTGCTGCAGCCGCGGCGGTGCCGGCGCGAGACTGGCACGGTCCTCCGAATCGCGGGCTGAACGGCAACTGGACGGCGGCTTGTGGCGCAAAAGGTCGGAACTGCGGAGCATGCTCGACTTCACCGGAGAGTGTTTCGAGGAGGTGAGCTCAATGCTGCGGAGCCCACGCAAGGACCCAAAGAGCGCGGCCAGCCTGGCGCAGCTGTTTGGAAAACCCACGAACAGTCGCGACGACGCTTAAACGCGCGTATATACCTCTCTATATCAACCATGTTTATGTTTCATCGGAATAAAAAGCGCGGCGGGTGGCCGTCACCCGAAGACATTTTTAAACCAAAACCGACTGCATATAAACACATTATGACATACATACTGTGTATACAGTGGAGCACCCAGTGGGTGCAAGGTTAAGGGGTTATAATATATTTATATCCAGATAGCTCTCTACCTACCCACATCTTAGTATATCTCACTCACCACTTGAGAGAGACTCACTTTATAGAGCAGTTATTAGTACTTATTACCCATTATATTTTGTGCTACTTAAATTAAGTCATTCACTAGTAGTAACACTACATAAAACAATGATATAAAAAAAAATAAAAAAATAAAAAAATAGATATATAATACAACCACTTCGACACTGACAAACCCTTGTCAAATTTGAGTAGGTATGTGACATCAATGACCCGGTATACGATTGAGAAAATGAAAACGCTCAATACCTCAATTTATATTCCTTTTTTCTAACGTTATCTTATTTAATCATTTTTATCGAACGTTTGAGCACGATATTTGGTACTGATCCTAGATAATTATCGAAAATCAACATACGAGTATAAAAAGTTTGATACGGAAAGTGGCGTATTAGGTATTTGAAAAATAAAAAATAAATTGTTAACATTGAAAGTATATGTAATACAAAATTCAGTTAATTGGATAACGCTATCCAGTAATATTTGAGGTATAGGTAAGTGGTAACTTACTACAAATAATTATTAATTGTAGTTAACCTATTATTTATACACCAGTGTTTTTATAAGATTATAATAATTATTATACGGGGTCGGGATTTATTACAGTAGGTACCTAAACTGCCAAGATGAAAATGCTGCTAATGAGCTAAATGAGTACCTACCTACCTAATCAATTATTAGTATCTCCTTAGACCCATTCCTCAAGACCTAATTTACACGATAAATCATATAGATTAAAGACATGTTAAGTACTAAACCTACTAAACAAACATTTAAAATGTTTTTTACATTTTGTGAGTATGTAATTATATTTGAAAAATAGATTAATTTATTCTACGAACAAAGTTTTATAATTTTTGTAATACAAATTTTACCTGCTTAAATATTTTAAGAATAATTGAATTAATATTCGTAGAATTTATCTTGTATTGTCGTAGTTTCGTGAATATTTCAAGATTAGAAATCACTTGTGTTCTATAACGTTCTCATCGTAAACACCTTTTTTGGTTGTACTGTAAGGTATTATGCTGTATGTGTTGCAATTTTACTATACCTATACTATACTAGCTACAGTAGATATCATTAAAAAAATAAAACAATAACAAAAATTACCATTTTTTTATGGCGATCTGGCGGCGATAGCTAAATAAAGCGCCAAGCAATAGATTTTTTTTTTTATTGTAGAATGTTTGGGTACATTCAGCTTGCCAAAAGCATTATTTTAAAGGAGAATTCGCTTCTTTATAGATATATAAAGAAGTAAATACCAATAATATCATGTATAGTCTTAAATACTTTCTGAGTACTGTCTAAAATGAGATTCAAAAGCAATTTCTGAGTAGTAACTAAAATGAGATTCAACAACAATGCACTTAGACACAAACACAAAAATATTGGAAGTTACATTAAGGTAAAACCATGATAATTAACTAAATATAAATTATTAGGTATTTATTTTTTTTAACGATACTTGTTCATAATGTCTATATTATCACTGCTGAGCACAGTCTGTTGTTCGATTATAAAAAATCAATTATATGATAGTATTATAACTATAAGCTCTATGGTTAATACTACTTATATATATTATATTATTACGTATTACGATGTCGGTTCCAATTGATGGATAATCATGAGATATACAAAAAGGGTGAACATAGCTCGATGCATTATTTATTTGAGGTGGGTATAGCTATTTCATAATCTGTTACATATCGATATATGTTAAGTATGTTAAGTATGTTTTTTCCATGGAGTCCGAGTACCTATAACCTATATAAATTGCATCCCAAAAAAAGCTTAATTATTGGTATATGCCATGTAAACTTCGGTCTTGGAATTTTTTCCCAAAATATTTTGTTTATTTTTCATTCAGCAGCAAAGATCTATATAATGTTATATTGTAGTGTTTGTTTATGTTCCCTAATTAGTAATTAGTAATTAAGTTTATCGGGAGAAGCGGAGAATCTAACTTTAGAAGAACTTGTGTACCTACCATCATGCCAGTGTCAATTTGATGGATTTCGTGTACATTATTGAACATTTGTATTAGTGAACAGTCAGACGAGTAGTGTCACCCAGTGTTAGACGAGTAGAAAATTGAGGTTGTGAATAGCAAAAGAATTAAAACTCTAAGAAGACTCTAACCATGAATTTTTCGTCTTCGTCTTACACAAGTAGGAAGTAGAAAATGTGTGTTCACTAGTTTCAATAGTGTGCTGTTAGTTTTGATATTAGAATAAATTGACTATTATCAACATTTTAGGTGAAAACATTATCCGTACTTAAGAGTCGGTTTTTATTCTATATTTTAATTTTCAAACGAGATATGAGCATTTTTAATTTGTGGTATATATATTTCGCATACTCATTTCTTACTTCAAAATTAAAATATCGAAAAAATCACCGTCATTTAAGCACAATGTATAACATTCTTCACTAAACATAAGGTTATACGTTACAAGTCAATTCACTTTAATATCAAAACTAACAGCACACTTTTGAAACTAGCTAGTGAACGAAAATTGTCTACGTTTGTAAAGCACAGACAATAACAAACTCATGAGTAGCGTACTAGTAAAACTGNACATAAACAGTATACCAAAAAAACGGTTAACCCTAGCATTTCAGACATAAAATCGTCAACGAAACAATCGGAAACTTCACCTGGATCAAGAAAAGTTAATCCAAATTTAAATTTTAACCACTTGTTATCCTTATAATCTGAAGTTAACCCTAGTGATTGAATTTTCCTGTACCAAGCTTGAGTCAAGTGAAAGCGACAGCCTATAATTTCGGATAGTGGCCATACTGATTTCACAGCGAAATGTATATAATAATGATAATATTTGTATAGTTCTAGTAACTACAAGCAAACAAAAGTATTTGAACAAAAAATAAATCGACAACAACTTGATAATAATTTTAAAAGATAATTTGTTTCATTTAGATTCTAGGCCATCTAAAATATCCCATAGGTATTCCATATAAGTACTAAATTATAAAATGCTGATTGCTGATATTGAAACTTAAGCTTCTCAAAACGTAAAATTAGTTAGGAGAAATATACACTATATTCACTAACCTTTATTGATTATTGAATATTGATTTTGGGAAAATGTCCCTATAATGTATTTATAAAATAGGTATGTAATTATAAAATATCGTATAATATATAGATATCTTATCTATACGTATGTATAATATTTATAATTATGTGGGTCACCTGTCGTATTAAATATTAATAAAGTTCAGTTCGAAATTAGCACTCCAAATTCTAGTGATACAAGTCTGATCTTTAATAGTAGTAACAAACATAAATATTTCAAGACCCAAATATTTATGAACAAATAAAAATATTTGTTAAAACGATTTACAGCGATTTGTAAACAGCGCTGTAAAATTATTTTTATATTAGGTACGAGTGATTTGTCAACACAACGTTACGCATACATATTTTGTAAGTAGTATAACTGTATAAGATCTATGTATTACACAAATTAAGCTCTTTTTAAACGTTTCAATAGGTACTCAAGTATTTTATTCAATTCATCAAATCAAAAACTTTTTTATCTTTAAATTTGCTACACATTCAATATTTTGTTTTTTCAAGTCAATCATAAACCATCATCTATAAACCCCAGTATTCAAGATTTGATTTTATTTCAAAGTTTTCACGAAGGATAAAAAAGGACATTATTGGTGAAGTAAAATATAAAATAGTAGATACCGTAAAAACAATTAATGAGCTGTAGCATACTCGGGATTTCAGTATATAGTAGGCATATTGTTCAGGCATATTATACGTAT